GCAATATGATATCTATAGCTGTTATATCTGTAGCCTGATATATTATATCTATATATTAATATGATATCTATAGCTGCTATATGATATCTATAGCTGCTAAATGATACCTATATATCAGCTATATTATATCTATATATGCAATATGATATCTATAGCTGCTATATGATATCTATATATGTTATATTAAATATCTATTTTAAATATATGATAATAAAGAAAATAATATTAAATAGATTTAGTATACAATTAATTCTATATTTTCCTTAAATGGAATAATTTGAATATATATATAACATTGGAATATTATAATTTGAATTATATATATATATTTATATTTATATATAGAAAATTTTTCTATTCAAAATTTTCTTTATATTTTCTTATCAAATCACTATATTTTATATTTTACCATTTTCTTATGTACAAATCTCATTGATTTGTTCTCAGATGGTTATTTTAAATTTTATTAATTGTTAAACTGTTGAAAAAATCTTCAAATTTTTACAACATTTTTAAGTTTAACAAAGAAGCCAAGCTAATGATCTTTCTTGACTTTTTTTAGTTGTTCTAATGATGTTCTTAATTAATCTTTGACAACTGAATAAAATTTTAAACATTCAACTGGTTTTAACATAATACATCTTAAAGCCTTTTTGGATATACTTGAACAATAGAATTATGGAATGGAAAAATTCCTTAACCAAGAGGAGAAATGAAAATAAAATTTTATTGGTTAGATTTTGAGAAGCAAGTCAGAATTTTTAGTGCACACCATATATAAATAGATATTTGTATACATCAAAAGTATTAATAAGCCAATCAATTTATATATAGGAAGACATATTTTTTTAAATGCTATGTCCCCACAGGATATTGGTGATCATGACTTCCACAGATAATGGAGAAGTTTCCTGTTGTATTCTCCACATTTTCAAATTCAGAGTTTTCCTTCTCTTAGACTGGTTGCTACCAAAGCCTTAGCTAAAGTCTACACTTATATTTCCAATAGCTGAATGGACAAGAGATGGATTCCTACCTTTTCTCAAAAGGCGAAAAGAATGCAACAAACTAGGCAGCAATTTGAACTCTGCTTTTGCCAATTCTTTTTTTCTGTACTGATATCCATTGCATACCCATAACAATAACCACCTGCATACCCTTAAAAATCTTAAACACAGATATACAGACACACACACATATATATGGCAGTTTACACACACACACATAAATATATATATTTAGATATATATATATATATATATTTTTATATATATATATATATCAGATCTTCCCATATGTCATAGTCACTGAACACAAAGACACATACACACACACACATATATATATATATATATATATATGCTAGTGAATTCCTTCCATGACTACTGTAACTCTGCCATTCTATATCTTGTCTTCTGTCTAGTATTTTTCCTATTGCATTTATTATCCTTCGTTATCTTTTCAATTTACTCTATATCCCGCCCACCTGCATTATTTCGGCTTAATCTCTTCTCTATTTGGTATCTTGGTCTGTTCTCTGATCCCCGTTAATCTCTTTCTGTCTATTTTTTTCCGGCATTTCTCTTTCCATTAATCTATGTGAGTTTCAAAACGTAAAGTGTATAAATAAATACGTATGACCCGCTGTGACGTGCGTATGTGGCAGCTGGAAAATTCTGTAAAGTAATTCGAAACCTTTTCAGAAATTTAGTGTCGATCGTCGGTCGGGGGGGGTTACAGGAATGTATGACTTCTCTTCAACTGAAAGGCTTCCAATTAATTTTAAAATCAGAGGGGAAAATGAAGCCATCGATTACTTAAAAGGAGACTCGATTTTCTCCTCTGTTCCTATTATTTGCTTTCCAGGCACCGATATTAAAACTGCCGCTTTCAAATTTCTCTTTAGCGTCTCTTTTAAAGTCTTCACGTTGGGATTGGGTTGGAACAAAAATTCGTCGCGTTTTATTTTTTATGATTATTATTATTATTATCATTTTCAATAAGTATCGTTTGAATACGCGATTTCTTTTCACGTGTGACTAAAATCTATAACATATGAATGGGATTAACTAGGTGTAGGATAGTCAGTGATAAGCAACCTCTCCCCAAGTGTCCCCTCTTGGACTTGTCCCACATGAAATATAATATTTCAAAATGAAAAAAAAAAAAACATTCGAAAGCATCTTTCCAAACGGTTCGTGTGTGGAAACTGGAATTTGATTTTTATGTTAAAAGTGAAAATAGAGGAAAATTAAATTAAATTTAAATTTATATTAAATTGAAATTTAAATTAAAATAGAGGAAAATGCGATGCATTTTCGTCATTTAATGCTCTTTTATTACTTAAAAAGAAACACTGTACAAACAGAAAAAATAGTATGCGCCATTTATGGGGATGGTGCGATAGCTGAGAATACTCGTTGTAAATGGTTTTCTAGCTTCAGAAGTAAAAATTTTGATTAGAAAAACAAGAACGATCCGGCAAATCTGAAACTATTAATGAGGATCCAATAGAAATTCTTAATAAAATAATCGAGATTACATGATATGGGAGACCACAGATAAATCCTAAATAATCCATATGCATGTCGCAAAACATTTAAAAACACTTGGATACCTGAATTGCTACGACATTTCCGATTTAACGGGAAACTCCATTATTCTGCTCAAAAATAACAAAAACGGTTCATTCTTTTAAAGAACGATAAAACATGGAAACCAACAATATGAATCGCAGGAAAACGAAAATCGCGGTCTACATTCGAAGAAGATGACCATGTGTACATGATGAGAATCAAAGGGTTTGGTATATTACGAGCATTCTGCAGCAAAATCAAACGTTCTATTCAGACAAGTTTCCCTAATCAGCGGGGTCATCCTGAGAGAATTAGAAGTCCCACCCGGATTCATTATTGACGATCGCGATCTTAACTATATAAGATATGCAGACGACAGCATTTTGGCAGCAGACACAGAAAGGAAACTACAAAAACTCCTACAGAATGTAATGAAGGAAATCGAGAAGAAAGGAGTAAAGATCAATTGCAAGAAAACTGAATGCATGGTTGTTAGCAAAAGGGACAACCCAGCATTCAAATTACAAAATGGGGATACCAAAATCAAACAGGTGCAACAAGTTAGATTATCTGGAAAAGCGTTTTAACAGAGGATGGAAAGAGTGACACTGAAATAAAATCTTCGCAAAGTACAAAGAAACAGAAAAATATTGTTAGAAACTCAGAAAAAAAGTACTGAATAGTATCAGTCTTCACTATTTACAATATTCGGACTATTGTCCTCATCTTTGTCGCCATATTTATTACAACGTTCCGGCGGTTGTACGCTCCGTTCTTCTTCAGGTGGTTGGAATGTCGAACTGAATCCTTTATTTCGCTCACTGGGGCAGACAGTTCTAGTTCCACGTGCCATGTCTAATGGATGTCAGTTATCAGTTATCTCCTGTTAATTCCCCTCTCCAAATTCTCCACCGACTTAACCAGGTATTGAATTCAAGGACACATGGCAAAGTGAATAAAGGCGTTGGTTAGATCCAGTGACAGGACCCAAAAAGTGTGAGTTCAAAAAAATATTTTCTAGCTTTAAATAACCTGCAATTGGGTGATAAGTAGTAAAAAAAGAATCAATCAATTATTTTAAAATGAATGTTTAACAAACTATTCCTTATTAGGTACATTATTCGGACTGTTATCCTCATCTTCATTACCATATTCACAACGTTTCGGCCGTTGTATGCTCCGACCTTCTTCAGGTGACTGGAATTTTGAACCGAACCCTTTATTTCGTCCATCTCAAGGATACATGGCCCAGTGGATAAAGACGTTGGTTAGATCCAAAGAGTTGTGAGTTCAATACCAGACCACAGCAGTGGTGAACCAAAATACTTGGAGAGTTGAGTTAAAGATTAATAACTGAGACATGCGGAAGAGGCGTGGAACTAGAACAATCTACCCCAGTAATGTAAATAATTATAATACCTCATCTCAGAGATACAGACAGAGACTATTCTTCATTGAATGATTAGCATAAAACCGTCATCAGTAACGCTAACCTTATAATTTCCTAGGTTTAGTAAATATTAAGAAGTAAGTTCGTTCAGCGTAAAATAACCAACAAACAGTAAGTAATCCGCTGATTTCTGTTCTCATATGTTATCCATATATTTGCAATTTGTTTTACTAACACTCGATTGATCTATTAATAAGCGCTATCAAAACAATAGACATTAATATGTTATCGTTATACGAGTATGGCTGTCTGTTAATGAGACTGCCGAAGACGCCTACTCAGGACAATTTTTGTTTGTCGAACGCACACAGTGCTCACCTGTGGTTGATACGCCGCCTGTGCTTAGCAGACATTAGTTACAAATACACGGCGAGGAGTTCATAATGTGACGCAATGTCATTACGCACAGAACCTCGGCCGCGATGATTTGTGACTTTCGTTCAAGCACAACAAATTGGAGGTTTCTCTCTCGCGGCGTGGAAAGGTTTCCTAACGTATTTACTCCAGATTGGCATGTTTTTCTATTCTCAGTGATTGTTCTTTGAATAATTATTCAAGTTTAAAAGTCAAGTTAAGAGAAATAGGATTTTTTTTTTTTTTTTTTTTTTTTACGAAATGAGGAACTTTTTCACGTGTTACGGTTTTGTTTAAGTTATTAGCACACATAGTCAGAGGAATAGGTGATTTTATGGACTCCCCATCTCTAGACAGATTGTCAACCAAAGCTGAAGGACATCTATTTGCTCTATTAACGACTAAACGACTGGGGAAAACTGTTGGGAATGGCTGCTTTTATGCTCCATTGGTGACAAAGGATTTCATTAAAAATTTTTTATCTGCTCCATTGTTGACAATAGTAATTTCTCATTCATAGATAGATAAGGAAAAAGATTAGATAGATAGACATTTTTAGATAGATAGAAGGCATGGGTGAATTTAGATAGATCATAGATAGATAGAAGATAATAGATCATTCATTTCTGAAATATAAAAGTAGAGATAGATAAAAGATAGATAGATAGAAAAAGAATCAAAATATAAAAATAGATAGATAGATAGATAGATGAATAGATAGATAGATAGATAGATAGATAGATGATGTAAGAAATTATTGACAGATAGATAGATAGATAGATAGATAGATAGATAGATAGAGATAGATAGATGCTAATAGATAGATAGATGAGAAGAGATTTAGATAGATAGATAGATAGATAGATAGATAGATAGATAGATAGATGCTAAGTTATTGAGATAGATAGATAGTATTTTCAACTCTAAAACACTATTTTTCCGCATTGTCACACCAACTGGCCCTGCATTTTCGCCAGGCAACGGATCCGCTATCAAAAACTGGAAACGGAAATATATCGCTTTAATATGTTTGCATTTGCCTCTGCGTTCGACTGCTTTCAGTCTTCGTAACAATTGCCAAAGAGAATGCCCACGTCATTTACACGGAAACGTTCCTGTATTTCATTGAACACTTTTGTATTTTTTTACCATTTTTGATTTCTTTTGCATTGTTACAAAGGAAAAATGATTTCTACCAACAGACGGCAGTTGCGAAATTGTTTTATTCCCAGCTTTTGCACCAATTTTCCCCTCTAAACAAATTCTGCAAGCAATCATTTTCTCTCGACTTCTCTATCTGTCTCTCTAATATATTCCACTCCCACTCTTTTCTCTTTTATCTCTATCGCGCTCACTACGTGCGCTTATAGATAGATAGTTAGTCAGATAGATAGATGTTAACTTGTTAAGATAGATAGATAGATAGATAGATATGTTAATACATATGTTGGTTTTACAACGACGACGATGACGAGAAGGTTTACGTTTCATTTGAATAATCATAGTTGAATCTCAGAGCATTTAAAGGAAGATTCATGTCCACATTTACAGTTTAGACAGATTTTAGTCGAAAGTACATCAATGCGCCATCAAGATAATAATAAGCAAAATATCAAAATCCTGGAACCTCTTTACAGCGAGTGTCAGATTCTCCTGGTCTTCTTAACTCATTATGTGCCCGAGAAACTTCATCTACTTTTGTGATTCTAAGTATAAGCGTCCTCGATATCTACAAGACTTTCTTAATAATTTTAGCTTTTACTATTGTCATAGACAGACATAGGAAAAGACTGGAGTAGATAGATAGAGAGATAGATAGAAAGAAAGAAAGAAACGGAGATAGATAGATATACATGTATACATGCACTCATACATACATAGAAATAGACGGAGATAGATAGACAATGAAGAGACTGAGATAGATAGATAGATAGATAGATAGATAGATAGATAGATAGATAGATAGATAGATAGGAAAAATGGAGACATACATACATACATACATAGAAATAGGATAGGATAGATAGATAGATAGATAGATAGATAGATAGATAGATAGATAGATAATTTATTTTATCTATATTTTTTTATTCTTTAATATAATTTTTTAAAATGTTTTCTTACTTAATATAAATTATTTAAATATGATTGTTAATCTTTTTTAATATGTATCATTTGCAGGTAGAATTTGTTATTTTTTTAAGTAGGAACCAAATTTACTGGAGTAGATAGATAGATAGCTGGGAAGAAACTGCAGTAGATAGATAGATAGATAGATAGATAGATAGATAGATAGATAGATAGATAGATAGATGTAGCGGGGTCATCATTTTGGCTCATTATTTATTGTCATAATCACGTTTTATTCTGTGTAAATACCGTTATTCCTTACGAGATTGACAATAGCGCCATCTTGAGTCGCTCGTCAACAACACGAACCCCCACAAGGGTGAAAATTGCTGTTAACGTGATCACCAAATGATAATCATGTTTTTCTCTCTTTATAATTTCCGATAAAATTTGAAGAAAAAAAAGCAGCAGTTTCTATGTAATTTTTAAAATCTTTCCTTTGTATTTATTTATTTATTTTTGTACGTTTTTGATCGTTATGTTTAATCGGTAAAAACGTTATTAAAATAAAGTGATATTTTTATTGACATATTAGCGTGTTCGGAAAGTAATTACGTATTTCACCGGTAATTTTTATAGTATACAAGGCCTAAGTCCCAATCGAGGTAGAGCGTTGCAGAATAAGAAGCATACTTTACAGGAATATGTTGGAATCATAACGTTTAACCCTCGATTACAACAGTTTAAGAGTTTAGTAATTGGGGAAGCATCCCCATGGGAGTCGGTTCCACAAAACGGCTGTTCGTGGGAATAAGCTGTTCGGGTGGAACTTACATCTCACCATAGAATACGAAGGGAATAAGGGTGCTTTGCTACAATGAGCGTTGCATGACGGGTCCTAGCCTTGAAGGTAAGAACTGGTGGATCTAAGGAATGTAGTTCGCCTGAGCACTTTCCATGAAAATAGCGATAAAGCAGCGAGAGAATTGCGATATTAGGTCTGTGGTAAAAGGATTGTAGGCTGGAAAATAATTCATCAACCACAAGGACGCGGAGACGTTTTGGACTCTATCGAGATTAAAGGGGAAGACTGTGCAGCTGCTATACATACATGACAGCCGTACTTCATTTTCGACCTCATCTGGTAGAGGAGAGCAGAAGGATACTTACTGTAGTGGTACAGGGAAGAGACGATCTTTCCAGCATCAATCATCTAACCAAGACAGAACCATAGTTGGATGGCAGAAAACTGCGTCTAGAATTAGCCTATCATCAGTGTGTCGTTGATAGTGCATCTCAGAATGTAACACTATAACGGCTTCTAAATATTTTGTATTGATTACTGTATAAATTCCGAATGCGTAGTACTTTGGCATTTATTTCTTTTTCACGATTTATCTACCGTTTGCGTGTTATTTAAAGCTAGAAATTTATTTTAGATTGTAGTCTTGGGGATAATAATGGTTTAGTAATACAAATCTTACTAATTAACCCATAGCTGGGGCAGTGAATGTTGATTCAAACCTTTTCCAAGAGTATTCGCGCGTAAATGAATAAAACAAACCCCGACTGGAACTGCAAATCGTTTTCCGATTTCCAATTACGAGCCATTATCCATTACACCACCTGCACATCCGAGTTTACAGAACCTGGAATTCCCAAGCTATCACCCATCGAGATACTAACCAGGCTCGACGTTTCTTAACTTCGGTGTTCGTAAGGCAACCGGTGTTTCAAAAAGTTTTAAAATATGCGTTTGTCTCGTATCTAACAGGCGTAGCACTTGAAGACAAGTCGCTCTACAGGAAGAACTTTGAAAAAATAATGTTGAACTGGATCCACATCAAAGCACTAGAGATTTGGCGCGTAAACTCAAAGATTCATGTTCTACTAGCTACAGGCATTTAAATCTGGGAAGAACACCCAGGAATACTTGCAAAGAGTGATATTGGGTTTCTCCTGAGTTTTCGCTTGAGAATCGAATAGAAAATTCCTAATCTGAAGCAGTCTTTTAACTTGGAATGCCAACCTTTCATAATTGTATCGTATTGTTCAAATTGATAAAAAAAAATGGGCTTTGCATATCAGCACAAAATGAAAAATACAGTGTGTTGTATTCTTATGTAAATATCGACCTTATAAATAGCAATGGATACAGCTGAAGCCTATACAAATCTTAACATTTGGCTCAGATTTGTATTCATTGAATTACAGCCCAAGCCCAATGAGGCTTTCCCTCGAGGCAGTAACTCTCCTTCGGGATGATGAGGGGTTTATTGCCTAGAAGTCTGAGGCGTCCCTAAAAGGAGATGTGTCGAGAGAGGGGCTTGGGTATTTTTGCGCGGTATGGCTGTTACACCAGCTTTAAACCTCGTCCTTGTGTCACATCCGGTTGCAACGTGGGAGCCCTGGTAAATACCACAAACCCTAACCTTTGAGTGGGATTTGTATTCTTTGAATATTAGCCCAAGCCTGAGGGGGGGGGGCTTTCCACCCGACAAGAAGTACCTTTTCCCTCGGAAGGGACTGGGTTTATTGCCCAATGCTTGATGCGTCCCTAAAAGGGAAGTGCCGAGGAGTTTAGGAATTTTTGCGCGGTATATCTGTTAAACCTGCTTTAAACCTCGACCCTTTGTCACTTCCGGTTGCGACAGAAGAGGATTCAGACCTTTCCCAAGGGTTTTAGCACGTAAGTGAATGTAATGGATTTGACTGGAATTCGAACTCAGCTCTCCGATTCCTCAATCCGAACTGCTTATCCATTATTCCACCGTGACTCCGCAGGAGGCAGAGATGCATTTATTATACAGTTTAGAGAGAACAGGAGCCAGTTCAGAAGTACATTTCTTAAGGACTATTACAGAGATAACATCGGGTCCACTTGATTTGCGGTGATGAAGGTTAGAGATGACAGACCATGGAAAGGATTGTCGGCATATCACTCAACAGAGAATCAATTCTAAGTGGGAAGAATCAAGGGTAGAGTTTGAAGAGAATTTACGAGCAAAGCACTCAGCTTTATCACCACAAATTGATAGAAGGGAATTACAGAATAGAGACCTTGCAATTATTTAATACCCAATTACAGAGACATCAGTAATCACGAGAGCCAAAGTTGTTGGGGGCTATGCTGTGCCTCATTCTCTCAACAAACAGCAACTTAGCTCTTTCAAGGACTCGCTTATATTTTTTACGAGCTACCATAGAGTGGTCCAAATTACCAAGAGGGCAATATCGTGGCCTGACGATTGCATCTAGCATGAAACAGACTGTCACCTCTAAGTGTTGACTTCTATGTTCAATTTTATATTCATATATATATATATATATATATATACGGCAGATGCTTATTTAGTTGATGGGGTTATTCGGGATAAAGTTATTTAGATGTGTGATGAGATTTTTTTTATTGAAGGAACAACTTAGTTGGTTCTTGTTTAAAGGATAATCTCACGATTGCCTCCGAATATTTGACATTTTCATGCTTTTTGAAAATGTATCTTTTTGGATATGTTAATGAAGATGAAGATAGATAGATAGATAGATAGATAGATAGATAGATAGGAGCCGATTCTAAGATAGATAGTATTATGGTAATTTACCCACGCGCGCATGGACTCTCCTAGCTATAAATAGGAGCAGGCACTGCCTTTTTGCTGAGGAAAGTTTCCAGCATTCAGCTCTGACAATCGGACCGAATATTCTTGCTATAACACGTTCTTTTTATGTTTGTATTACCGTTTCTGTTAATATATTTGTTTAACTTCGTTCCTCTCTTGTGTCTTTAGATAGATAGATAGATAGATAGATAGATAGATAGATAGATAGATAGATAGATATGAACAGACCGGAATAGATAGATAGATAGATAGATAGATAGATAGATAGATAGATAGATAGATATGAGTTTAGGAGATACATAGATTGCACATGATCCGTTATGAATGTAATTGTGTACACATGTATGTGTCTGAAATGAGAGCCTGTGTGTACGCACCTATGACAACGTATATAAGCGTATCATGGAAAGTTTAATAATCTTTTCTCTGCCTGAACTGAACATGAATGACTCTTTCATTATAACCGTTAGCTTTTCGTTCGTTGACCGGTAGTCAAATTGGATTTTCGTTATTCAACAGCTCTCGATGACCTGCGTGCCGAGTGTGTGTAGGTCAAATTCTGACCAATGCAGGCATTCTGAGAAACTTGTTTCCGTCATGCTTCCAACTATTTCCTTGCCGAAAGTCGTTCTGTTCATTAACTTCATCGCTGGACTGCCCAACATGTCTGATAAGGTCGTCATTGTCTGTTGATATTTTGTAGTCGAATGAGGCGAATATATTCAACACGTCGAAAGGAAGTCAATGTGAATGTCGCCAGGTTAGTTTGGGGATCGACAGCACATAATAGTTAAATATAGACCAACATTGATAGATAGATAGATAGATAGATAGATAGATAGATAGATAGATATGAATAGACTAAACTAGATAGATACATAAATGCATACATACATGAATAAGCTTAGATAGATAGATAGATATGAATAGAATAAACTAGATAGATAGATAGATAGATAGATAGATAGATAGATACATACATACATACATACATATATGCATACATACATGAATAAGCTTAGATAGATAGATAGATAGAAAGATAGATAGATAGATATGAAAAGACTAAAATACATACATACATACATATATACATACATACATAAATAAACTGAGATAGATACATAGATAGATATGAATAGACTAAAATAGAAAGATACATGCATACATACATATATAATACATACATATAAGCTGGGATAGATAGATAGATAGATAGATAGATAGATAGATAGATAGATAGATAGATAGATGAGTGAATTGAATAAACTAGATGAATATAGATGCATACCAACATACATATATTTATGTGGTACATGAATAAGATATCGGATAGATAGGGGATAGATAGATAGATAGATCATAGATATAAATTGTTCCAACATAGAAGGATAGATGATAGATAAGATAGAATTCCAAAATAGAAGATGATGATAAATAGGGAGACGAACAACACAGATAGAATAGATAGATAGATAGATAGATCAACCGCTAGAAGTGATCAATGAATTGAATGAATCCAACTGTAACGAACATTTTACATGGATGGGAAATACATATCGCTACAGGTATGATCATGGATAAGATAGATAGATAGATAAGCTGAGATAGATAGATAGATAGATAGATAGATAGATAGATAGATAGATAGATAGATACGTAACGAACATACATAGATAAATACATATATACATAGATCATGGACAAGCTTAGATAGATAGATAGATAGATAGATAGATAGATAGATAGATAGGTTTTCTTTATCAAATAACTCAGCAATTCATCTGCCACAATGCTGCATCACAGACTGACCAATAAATAACAAACGCCAGGAATGAATATATGAAAATAATGTATTAACGTAATAATACAAACTGGTAAAGCAGGTTAGTAGTTCCAGGAATACGGGTTAGTAGCATATATATATATACAGTCTTTGGTATTGAAGTATCGCTGTATGACTTCTTACTGAGTCTACGTGCTCGCTCACTGTGACTCCTACAACGCTGTTACCTCACCCTCACTCTTCCGGTTACCTACAACCTTTTACTCTGTCACTCTGGACTCGACTCGATTCGGTCTTGCTCTCTCGGGTCTTCACGTAGCCGTAGTATATGTATATACTGGGTGAGTCCATTTGTATAAAAAGGGGTGGACCCCTCAACCCCCCTCCTTAGATCCCTTTTTGGGGGGTTTATATTTTTTTCCTTTTATGATCGATAATCAGAGGTTCTGTAAATTTTCTTTTCCTGTTTGACCTTCTAGTTTCTGTGTCTTCCTGTGGTCTTTGAATCTCAAAAGCTTCAAAGATTGCATCCATTGAATCGTCATTTTCAGCGGGTGACGAGCTTGGCTCTTCAACCCGTCTTTTTTTGTATTTGGTCAATATGTCTTCTGTGGGTAAACTTTTCTTTTTTGTACTTTGTAGTCTGTTAATTTTTTCCTAGTCTGTTAATTATTGTGCCAGGCAATTTCCCAGTAAGCCATATTGTTCCTGAACATCTTAAAGTAAACCCGTTCTCCTGGTTTAAATGATCTCAATTGGGTACTATAGGTGTATGCTGGTGTTTATTCTTGTTAAAAATAACTTATCAAATGGCACGTTTCGCTTCTTTTAATACTGGTTGGACATTTTTTTTAATTCAATTTAGCTGCATTTTTACAAAACGAACTGATAGGTAAATCCCATACGTCGAACTTTTTGCATCCAGTCCGTTCCCACCAGATTTTCTGTATCTTTCATTACGAATATTTTGAGTTTCCTTGTTTACCCGTGAAATTTTACATTTAGGATTACTTCTCCTTCGATACGCTTTTCTGTAACAGACTTAGCAATTTTCTGTGTATGTAACATTGATGGTCTATTAAGCTTTCTCCATGTTTGTAGGTTAATTATCGTTATATCGGAACCTGAGTCAAGTTGCAATTTTATTTTTTATTTAAGATTTATAGTTCCACATATTTCCTTATGTTAGTATTGTCTTCGTCATGCATTCTAGTAGCTCTTATCCTACTAGTAAATTTTCTGTTCCTACATTGGGATGCCTTGTGACCCATTTTTCCACATGCAAGACAGTTTTTATATTTAAAACGACAATCCTTATTCCAGTGTAGTCCTCCACATCGATAACATGCAGAGGGGGGGTGCTTATATTTACTTTGATTTTCGTCATTTTTGCCCTGTACGTTGTACTTTTTTCATTATTATAAATTTTGATTTTTTTTTTCGGGAGGTGAAAATTTTTTCATTATTATAGAATTTTTTTTTTTTTCCGGGGAGGGTGAAAAACGTAAACTTTTGTTTAACTTACGAATATGTGATACTCCTGACTCCTCAATATCCTTCGAGTCTTTCTTTATGCTCAGGACATTTTGGCAGTCTTCCGATAGTTTTTGTAGTGTTAATCCAGGTTCATTTTGCAGTTTTGAAAGCATTCTTTTGCGCATTTCGCTATCTTTTTGCTGAGACTAACCCTTGTACAAAAATAAGACACTTGAAATTGTCTGGGGTTAATTCTGCCAATTTGAAATCGTCGCAATGTTTATTCACGATTGCGGCGAACGTGAATAGTCCTCATTTTCATCCTTTACGAGGTTAAGACATTTCCACCTTTTGTGAAAAGTGACGTTTTCGGGCTGAAAAAAGCTCCGTCAGGCATGTAACTGCTTCATCAAACGTTAAATCATTTGTCTTCTTTGGCAAAAATGTAATCCAAAAATTTTGTGTATTCTTCCGTTCCTAATTTTCTGAGTAATAGTCGTAGCTTTTTTTTGCTTCTGTCCAGTTTTGACAATCGATGTTGAAGATGTCTTCATGACGTCTGAAAAAAGTTTTGAAATTTTATCCTCTTCTAGGGAATATTTGAATGTTTCTATCGTGTTTCCATACTGCGTCTTGAGAAAAAGTCGCCTCTTTTTCAATATTTTGTTGTTGTGTATTACTCGCTACTTTTACAATTAGCTCCTGGAGTTGTAATTGTCTTTCTTCATTTTGCATTTGTCTTTCCTGATTTTCCTTCTGCGTTTTGTAATAATTTTTTTCCATTCTTTCTTGGAATTGTAATTGCTGTTCATTTTGGTATTTTACAAGTTCTACTAAAATACTTTTAAAATCCTCCATGGTAAGAGTCTTACTTAAAAAAACTCGATTTTCCGTATTTTAATCCTCGTAACACTTTGTTACCCAGTTGTTGTGGATACTGGCAAAACGGCAATTTTTCTTTTGAGTCTCCGAGAAATGCAAATTCTTGTCGCCCAAGCTGTTGTGGTGAGAAGAGAAATTTTTTCTTTCCGTGTAGGTCCCAATTTCTCGACACCAAGTCGTTGTGGTCGGCAGGGAGAATTTTTTCTTTGTACTCTTCCTGTGTGATGAGAAAAAAATTTCCTCGTCGCCAAAAGTTGTTGTGGTCGACGAGAGAAGAATTTTTTTTTTCCGTGTGAGTTCGATATCCTCGTCGCCAAGTTGACGAGGGAGAATTTTTGTCTTTTTTTCTTCCTGTGTGAGTTCGATATCCTCGTCGCCAAGTTATTTCGAAGGAAATTTTTGTTGTTTGTTTCCGTTGAAATCGGTACCAATAAATAACAATAAAAACGCCAGGAATGAATATATGAAAATAATGTATTAACGTAATAATACAAACTGGTAAAGCAGGTTAGTAGTTCCAGGAATACGGGTTAGTAGCAAAATATATATATAGTCTTTGGTATTGAAATATCGCTGTATGACTTCTATGTATATATGGGTAAGTCCATTTGTGTAAAAAGGGGAGAACCCCTCAACAGTTGTAAATTAATCTTTTATTACGTTCAGGCATTTAGATTGTTCATATTCCATCTTCCCTGCCAATTGTTTCGTTTATGTATTTCTGTTTATTCTTGTTATTCTGAACGTATGTATATATAATTCCTCGCCAGGATAGTAGAAGGGTAAAGACCACCCTCGGTCCCCAGATTCCGTGTCCTCGTTGGATTCAGTAGATCCATGTGATGATGTCTAGTCACTGACCAACGTGTTGAGAACTGTCCTCTAGATCTCACTCTAATTCTCGCTTAATCAAAGAAACGCGGGCACCACCACTACTGTGTAGATAGAACTGAAATAAAGCGAAGAAAAGAAACCTGATAAAATCGTCCGTCGTTCATCCAATCAGTGATGCAGCGTCGGGGCCTGAGAAATTACCGATAGATAAAGGGGAATCTGAGATGACACACAGCACAACAATATATTCAATGTTAGTCTCCTCATATATATCGGTTTGCCAATTTATTGACAAATCACTGCATCTATGTAGGTATATCGTTCAGTATCTATCTATTTATCTATCTCAGTGATTCAGTATAAATCTATCTATCTCAGATGTTCAGTGTCTATCTATATATCTCAGTCTTTCAGTACATATCTGTCTGGTTATTCCAGTCTTTTAGTATCCATTTACGCACCTACCTATGTCAGTGTTTTAGTATATATCTATCTAATTGTATTCGTCCCTCTGTAGCTATCTATTTGTATATCTATCAATCTATCTCAGTCGTTCAGTATCTCTCTTAGTCTTTCAGTACCGATATATCTAATTATCTATCTATTTATCTATCTATCTCAGTCTCATCATTATTTATCTATTTAACTCTTTCAGTATCTAAGTCTGTTCATATCTATCTTTCTCAGCCTCTCCAATATATATCTACTTATCTATGTCAGTCTTCAGTATCTATCTATCTATCTATCTATCTATCTATCTCAGTCTTTCAGTATCTAATCTATCAACCTATTTATTCAAATCTATCTTATTTATCCAATATTTCTATAATTTTTTTACAATAATGTTCATCCTGTACAAGGCCCAAGAGTCACTTGTGGTAGAGGATTACAGAGTAAGAGGTACACTTTGTAAGACATCAATAGCTTCAGACTGTATTGATCGGGGAAGAATCCTACGTTATATAGAGTGTGAACACACAACTAGCAGTTAAACTATATTTTCCCGAGCGATAATCAAACTGGGGAATTTTAGCCAATTACAAAAAAAAAAAAAAAAAATACAAATTCCGAATAAATCATTTCTATAATAATAATTCCTCGTCTAATATAGAAAGGTGAAATGGCATAAAAAATAATTTCTGAAAGCTTTTGACTCTTGTTCACAAATATGGTCATTTTGATGAGTTAAAATTTCCAAAATAAAGAAAGCTTTCAAAAACATCTTGCTCTCAGGAAATTGTTCGTCTAATGTAATTTCTGACTTACGCGAAATAATGGAGACGGCAGCCACCTTGATTTTCTACCAACAAGTCGATCGGCCATTTATGAAGAAATCCAATATTTCTGCAATGAAATAAATAACGTTTCAAAATAATAGTAGAACACATTTCGTATCTTTTTTTAAGGCGTCGTTTTAGCTGTCAGCTTTAATTGAAAACGTCTACAGGTTCAGAGAAGCCACCATGTGGTGATGTCCAATCTCTGACCAACGTGTTGAGGTCCGGCCTGTCAATCTCGCTTTCCTTATCGCTTCATCAAAGAAACGATGATAGCACTACGACTGTGTAGATAGCACTGAAATAAAGCGAAGAAAAGAAACCTGATAAAATCGCCCGTCGTTCATCCAATCGTTGATGCAGCGTTGGGGCCTGAGGAATTACCGATAGATCAGGAAAGAATCGGAGACGACACACAGCGCAACAAAATACTGAATGTTATTCTCTTCATATATATCGGTCTGCCACTTTATTGACAAATCACTTTATCTAACATTGCATCTATCTATCGATCGATCGATCGATCTCAGTCTTTCAGTATCTATCTCAGTCGTTCACTATGTGTGTAGGCATGTATGTATCTGTCTATGCCGTTCAGTATCAATCTATCTATCTCAGTCTTTCAATATGAATCTATCTGTACCTATGTATCTATGTCGTTCAGTATCTATCTTAGCCGTTCAGTATCTATCTATCTATATATCTATCTATCAATCTATCAGTCTGTTCATATCTATCTATCCATCTATCTATCTATCTGTCAGTCTGTCCCAGTTTTTCAGTATCTTTCTCTCTCTCTCTCTCTCTCTCTATATATATATATATATATATATATATATATATATCGTTCAATATCTATCTATCTATCTATCTATCTCTCTATCTCTCTCTTTCTCTCTCTCTCTCTCTATATATATATATATATATATATATATATATGTTGTTCACTATCTATCTATCTATCTACCTATCTCTATCTATCTATCTTCAGAAAGTCATGGTTATATTTTATTTCGCAAAATCGAAAATTCGATTTTGCTTCATCAGTCCTGACAATTTTAAAACAATGAATGGATTCAAATATTCTTCCAGGAAACAAACGAAAAACAAATTTAACAGAAGTTGTGTTTTAAGACCCAAAATGTAGGAATTGAAGGAGAGAGATAATAGTGGGGAGCGGACATGTCTCTAGGAGATGCGATAGTAGTAGTGATGACCTCTTATTCACTGCATAAAGGAATGGAGTGGAGAAGATTTTTTTAAGAATGGAACAAAGAAAAAGGAAGGGAAGAGGAGAAAGAAAGGAAGAACTAGAGAACATACACAAATCCATATACCTACATACATACTCATTCTTCTTTCTACATATATAAATACACATATTCGCATCCATCTACACATATATGTTTTCATGTAAATGTGTTCACACATACGTATATACGCATACATATGTACACACATACTCAAATATTTATCTATTTGTATTCATAAACACTAAATGCACATATTTGACGAGTACATTCCTAAATAAGTACATAGATAACATGTAAGATGTCCTCAAATACATTACTAACCATATAACTGTAAAGAGGCATTTAAGAATGTTTTCCATCAAGTGTACCCAGATATACACACAACGCATAATCTATGCACATACCCATGAGAGAATACGGCATATAACACACTAACACACGCCTGTACCTATCTACATAGACGGGGTCACACATGTTTGCATATACAAAAATATATATTCCAACACAGATACAAAGGCAAAGGAATATGATAATATGCTTATGCATACAGGTACATAAAGAAGAGAGATGTGTAAGCGATTGATGCCCAGGTAAATGTTTTGGGGGTTTTTTTGTAAAGTGAGGTCGCATGTGAAGAAGGCATGGGATTTCCATGAAGGGTCATAGGTGGAAATTCTGATTTATCACCCATTAATATTTTATGTATACAAAAGAGTAAAACAAAATGTCTCTCTCTCTCTCTCTTTCTCTCTCTCTCTATCTCTCTCTCTTTATATATATATATATATATATATATATATATATATATATATATAAAGAATGCATAAACATAAAACTGTCTTAAAAATAATTGTCGGACTTTGTCCATTCATAATATGTAACGTCATTTGTTTACATTTGGATACGCTTTGACCAGATATGAATGTATGTGAGAGATTCATGGAAGTTTAAAGACAGTAAATTCGACCTTGCTAACCGAACGCTTCTCTCTGACCAAATCGGTTAAAGGCACGTCAAGCTAAATGACATTTCCGTATAGGATACAGTTTCGATTCCTGTCGAATATTTTCTGTGAAAATTTCTTGGACATTCAGGCCGGTAAATGTTGTTTAATACTGGTTATTATAAACTGAGCATTTACTTAAATATTTGCATCCATAAAAAAAATATTCGCTCGGCCCGGTGGCTAGGATCAAAGTGTAGTATCTGCGCTTTGTGAGCTGCCGGGTCGGGTGTCTGTCGAACTCTCTGCTTGCAGAGAGGAACCCGGACGAAGCTCCGCCGAAGGGTGGGGTTTCGTTCGGGGAGGTTGACGGAACTAGCCCGCTTGGACGGGTTGAGATGGGTTTTATTTTTTGGCTGGGCCTACGGGCTCAGACATACCCACATTAAAAAGGCCTTGTGCCACATTCAATTCCTATGGGTGAATTGATAAATACCATCCATAAAAAGAATATTTGCTCGGCCCGGTGGCTAGGATCAAAGTGTAGTATCTGCGCTTTGTGAGCTGCCGGGTTTGGTGTTCGTCGAACTCTCTGCTTGCAGAGAGGAAATTGGAAAAGTTTTCCGCCGAAGGGTGGGGTTTCGTTCGTTTTACCTTCAAAACCTAGCCCGCTTGGACGGGTTGAGATGGGTTTTATTTTGGCTATAATACGGGCCAAAATACCCACATTGAAAAAAGGCTTCTTTTGTGCCACATTCGATTCCTGTGGGTGAATTGATAAATACCATCTATAAAAGAACGTATAAAAATGTCTTAAAATATATATTCTTAGACATACATATATATCTATTTTAAAGAAAATTAACTCAAACATGTATTTGTGCATATGTATTTTTCCCCCTTCGTGCGAATGATTAATATGAACAGAGATGGAATAATTGTAAGTAGAATGTTATTTTTGAGCGCGTTTTCGTGTGTGTACATGTATGTGTATATCCCTCAGTGAGGGGGAACAAATCGTTATTTACCACCTCAAGCTGAGCAAGCAGCCATGTTTCTGACCAGATAGAAATTCTCTGTGCGTTTACTTCCCTTTTTATGAAAGATCGCACATCGCTGGTGAACAGGAAGTTATCTGGTAGTGGGCTATACATTGCCAAGGGGAGTCGCATGGCGTGTAGTTATAAACATGGAAATAATTGTAGCTAACGGAAGGTACACAAGTCGATACCCGATCAGTATCGGCAGGGTCACCTTGGAGACACGAAACCCCTAATGCACCGCGGCTAGAAACATCACTGATGGTGTGTCCCAAAGCTTCCAATAGATGTATTTTACGAACTAGAAATCTGAAGAATTCAGTGCCTTCTAGGAAAAGACTATTTGACGACCAGAGAATAGTTTTGGTGACAACTGGAAAGACAGTTGACAACTCGGAAAGACGGCAGTTTGGGCAAGCTGGGTGAGCATCGCTACTTGTATCTTCCACTAGGAAGGAACCACTGTTGGCGACGAATTTTACAGCAAATAAATAACCGCAGGGCATCCAGAGATGGTGGGAGGGGGAAATGAGATCTCCGCAAGGACGTATAAAGGGCTTTCGACCAAGGATTACACACGGATTACGAAAGTGAAATGCATCTGTGGGAAGGATTATTAAAATCCAACCAGACCAGGATGAAATATTTGGGGAGAGAAAGAGAGGCAGTCACAGGTAAAAATTATGTAAATAAAAAAGTGGACTGTCGCCTCTGGGTGTTGACTTCACTGTCCACTTATATATATATATATATATATATATATATATATATATATATATGATAAGATAAAGAAAAAAGTTTATTATCTTAACATGTTTCAATTTTATTAAACCTTCATGAGAGAATGAGATATGGAGAAAAACATGAAAGAAATTCTACTATTTCATTATATATATATCTCCCACTTCACTTCCTCACTGCGTTAACTTTGCGTATACTTGATGAGGTAAAAACGTGTGAATTTCTTTTCATTTTTCTTTTCAGCTTTTGGAAGTAAAGTCTGATGATGCAGAACCCTGTTAAAGGGGTTATGGTGAAATAGCTTATTACATGGAATCTGAACGTGGTCTGTCTTTTATTCAAACATATCTGCTCTGAATTTTACATTGAGCTCTCGGGATATCATCCTCCTCAGGTCTACCCATACGGATTACCTAAATTACCATAAATTAATTATATATATATATATATATATATATATGTGTGTGTGTGTGTGTGTGTGTGTGTGTGTGTGTGTGTGTGTTTTGTGTTATTTACAATGTTCAGACTGTTCTCATTTTTTTGCCATATTTTTGAAGTTTCGTCTATTGTACACCCGAGGTTTCTTCAGTTGATTGGAACTAAACCCTTTATTTCGTCCACCGGGATATATTGTTCTAGTTCCACGTGCCATGCCTCTTCCGGGTGTATCAGCTATCTCCCTTTAACATAACTCTCCAGTTAACGCCTTTATTCACTGGGCCATGTTTCCTTTGGAAGAAAGCCGGAGAAACGTCGTTAATGTGGCAATAAAGATTAGGAAAATGTAAATAATGTAAATAATTACAATACCTCATGGCATATATATATATATATATATACTTTTTATTATAAAAGATTATAATAAAGACGTTGAAATCGCTCAGATGTCTCAATACTAGGATTGTACTTCTTTAGGCGATAGTAAGTAAATGGAGATTAAATGATTATTTGTAATTCTGACCTTATGTCCCCTACTTGAACTTTCGGAAAACAGGTAACACTATATTTTAATTAAAAAAAATCATTTAAAAAAAAAGTTACTTACCATCACCTGAAGAAGCACAATCAAAGTATTGAAACATGAAAGCTTTTGTGTAACGATTTAAAAATGTTTTATTATAACCTATTATAATAATAATATATTGCTCTACTTTGTATAGAACACTTTTTTAAAGTATGTAGCCGTCTCTTTTAGTTAATAGCTAAATGTCTCGCAAATATCTTGCCTGTGGAATGGATCCTATTCCTGTTTCCCTGTGAATTATAATCTCCAGCTATTCAATGTAATGTCAAAAAACATCTTTTGTCTTGATAAAATCCACTACCCTAATAATATTTGTTCACTCCTTTTATATTTTAATTTATTTCCTGTAACCCCTTAAATCCTAAGTGAATTTTTTTTTTTGGGGTGAAATGCTTAAAAAAAAAAATGCTACGAAAATGAATTTGAAATTCCATCTAGAATATTTTTTCTCATTTATATATATATATATATATATATATATATATATATATATATATATATATATAAAATGGAAAATTGTTTATGTGGCATTTTTAAAAAGCTTAAAAAGAATAACCGGTTTCGTCCCAGGACTTCTTCAAGTTTATTTTTTTGGCATTATAAAAATATATACGCGTGTAAATTAAATGTAAATTAAATTAATTTTTCGAATCTATAAAAAAAATATGAATTTAAGAAACTAGTATATATAATATTCAGACCCAATTAAGCATTAAATTGTTTACAAATATTCACGGGATCTGATATACAAGGATTTTATAACTTTGGCCTGATATATATATATATATATATTTATATATATATATATATATATATATATATATATATATATATGTTTGAATCATTTTCTCTGACATATACAAACGTTTTAAAAAACGATTTGATAAATACTGATTGATTTGTTACTTTCTGCTTACCATGGGGCTATATTTGACAATAACTCTTCTGTTACCTTATTTTTATTTATATATTTTTGTTATTGGTTCGTCAAACTAGATACTGCCATTTCCGTCTTTTTTCATTCTATACCCAAATTGCTGGCGTTTTTGCATATGAACGTCTTTATTTTGTTCCACGCTTAATGGAACGACGATCAAACGGGCAGCGAAAACGAGACTAACGGGTTTAATCTCCAAAGCGGTCGGACGGGATATCGAACAAACGAAATGAAAACACTCTTCAAGTCAAAGGGTAACTTTTGTTGTTTGTATTTAAGCCTGAAATTCTCCCTGTCTTCACTTGGTCGACTACGAAGAAGTTGGCGTTGTGAAAATAAGAACAGATGAGGAAAAATTTTGCCCCAAATTCAAAAAAAAATATATATATATATATATTTATTTATCTATCTTGTTTTATATGGAATCTTTTATCTCCATTCGACATCATAAATTTTACATCTTGTTAAATTTGCACGGTTTATTGAACATCATTATCATCAATTTTTGACAGAATGTGGCAGTAGGCTCATTTGAAAAACAAGGATTAGGAGAGATTCAAGAAGATAAAATTTACTAAAATTAAAAAGGACAGGAATTGTGGAAGCCATGATCACCATCGTCCTGATTTTTAAGGAAATAAAAAGAAGAATGAGATTGTGTAAATGGTTGGCAGAAAGGAATTAGTAGAGATCATTTTTTAAAAATTTACTAAGAGCTGCAAAGGACAGGAAATTGTGGAGAGCCATGATCACCCACACCCTGAAGGGACACGACAGATAAAAGAACTAGAATAGGTCTGTGTAAATGTTTGGCAGAACAGGGATTAATGTGGACAACCATGAAATTGCAATTCTTTTCATATTTGTGTTGAATATTTAGAGAATATCTTAAATCTGTGAATGTCTTTTCATCTAAATAATTAATTTTTGAAAGAATCATAGGACAGAGGCTGATTGGAAAGATTTAAAATTGAGTATATATTTACTGAACGTCACTGGCATCAATTATTAAATCTTCTTCTTCCATACCATGTCCCTTCAGGTTATAGGCGAATATATATCTCTGTTTTTATAATCCTTTGAATCTAATTAACATTGAATGAAATTCACTTATTTAAGAGTTCGTTAAATAAATTATTAATTCCTCTCTCTTTAAATTGACAAAATTGTGAGTAAAAAATTCGCAAAGTATTCTTTCCAAATGTTTGTTCAAATATCACGTAACAGTTCAGTACTCTTTTCTTTGTTTCTAATGAAGTTTTTCATATACTCTGCTTAACTTTTGGAATTAATCTTTGGCTATCCCAAGACGTCTTCGAGTTTCAGTGTCGCATTTTCCCTCTTTTATTAAAACACTTCCTAGATATTCAAATGTTTGTGCTTTGTTGAGTTTGGTACCTCCAATTTGTAACTTGCCTTTTGCTAATAACCATTCATTCTGTTTCTTGGAGTTTATATTTAGTCCTTTCTTCTCGCTTTCCTTCACTACTTTCTGTGGGAATTCTTTTGTAGTTTTTTTTCCGTGTCTACTATCAGTACTGTATCATCTGCATATTTTATGTTGTTAAGATTGTGGCCGCCAATAATGAATCTTGGTGGGAACTCTAATTCTCTCAGAATTGCATCGCTGTATAGGTTGAATAATTCATATGAGAAGACACAACCATGTTTTACACCCCTTTCATTTTTTTGTATATCTGCTGAACTCATTTTCTATCAGTATGCAGGCAGTTTGCTGATAATATAGGTGTTCCAACAGATATTTATAGCAAACTTTAACAAACGCTTTTATGTAATCTATAAAGCACAGGAACAAGTTCTTCTGCATTTGTAATGTTCTTTCTGATAATCATTCTAAGCATAGATATTGTTCCAGTGTCATTAACGAACCCGCACTGTTCTTGTCCTATCTCTGGCGTATGATTCTGTTTTCTATTATCGGAATAAGGTTGATGAGTTTTATGCCATTAGGTTGATTTAAATGGAACTTTTTGGGTAAATTCTTATGCAGTGCTATGATCGAATTAATTTGCTTCTTCAGTATATCACCATGTTGTAGATGTCAAATGGATACGTTAAAAAAAATCCAGAAAATGAGTGGCAGCACCATTTAAAGAAAAAAAAAAGAAAAAAAGAAGAAAGGAGAGGCTAAGGACCGAATCGTGGATGATAAGCAGAACACACACACGGCTAAGAGACAATGGATATGGGATATTTTGATAAGTAACAAATGGCGAAAGGGTGTCATTACAATGACAGGGAAATTTCTGAGTAAAAAAAAAAAAAAAGAAAGAAGAAAATCAGATATGTTTTGGCGACGGCTGTGTTATCTAAGGATATGAAAACAAACTATTGGTACGGGAAGGCATCTTATTATCAACTACAGACCGACTGGCCAAAGAAAAATTCAAATGAAAATGTTATTTCGATAAGTGACGAAAAACAGGCAACTAAAAAGGACTTTGGACAGATATGAAAAAAATTAAAAGCCACCCAAGCAGTGTCCGCTGACCGATTTCCTTCGACGGAACATCTTTGGCCTGCGATAATAAAATTATGTTATCAGAAATATGTACCGAAGGGAAATGAATGGGAATTTAGAAAGTGTTTTTTTTTTTTCGGGGCGACGTTGACTGTTTTAAGAAGACCACCTTTTCGGATAATTAGCGATAAAACCACCATCTGATAAAAAACGATAAAATGTAGAACAAAACCAGTTATGACCGCCATTGTTCATATTGTCCCGTTTGCGGCTAGAGAAATGATAACGGCGATTAAAAGGAAGAAAAGGAAGTTAAAAGATAATTTTTTTTAGTTAAGCAAGATATTTTTTTTTTCCTGAAACAAAGCCGCGGATTGTTCCACGCCCGACTAAGACATCATTGGTCAAGTGGTGATCACGTGACGCACGAAGGAGGAGGCTGATACCCGACCAAGACCTCATTGGCCGAGATGATCAAGTGACGCACGAAGAAGGCTGTCGACGCCCCATCCAGAGTATAAGTATGAGAAGCTGCTACGAAGAAGTGGGGAGGGCAGTTCACGCCCTCTGAAGTATGGTGAGAAGTGGGAGGAGGAAAGGTTCCAAAAAAATGAAAAAAAGTGGAAAATCCCTAACCAGAAATAAAAGAGGTGGATATGTATTTAGAATTATCGAGGAACCCCCCGACGCCGACAGACCCACCCCGGTTTTGGTCGGCGTCAATAAAAGCGAAGCCCCAACAGGCAGAAATCAGTTCGGGTCCAGCGGAGAGTTGAGTTCAGTCAGTTCGGGTTCAGCATTTGAGTTTGAGTTCGAGTCTCCAGTTGAAGCCGCCTCGTTGAAGCCTCCTCGCAGATAGCTGACCAAGATTCACGCAAATTCCGGACTCCTCTTCAACCCAAGAACAATTATTTTGAAGAGCGACTTAGATCCAGACCACCGAAATAAGTTTTTTTTTTTTCGACTTTCGTCCAAAGACACACCGAAACACCAATTTCTTAGAGAGCAAACAACTTGAAGCGTTAAAACTTGCCTAACGGAAAACGACGTGTCACAATCCATAGAACGGGTCGGGAGATAGATGCAGTCCTATGTATCGAACAACTAGACATAAAGTTTGTTACCTTTTTCTTTGATACTTTGAACTTTTGAGTTTTCATTTTATTTTCTTTTATGCATATTTGTGTGGTATCACCCCCGTTGAACTCGGTTTGCATTACGGCCCCAACCACTGTTTGATCTCGTCTGCCTAAGATCAATTCACAACGTGGGTAGGCAGACTGGAGATCAATGCAGTTACCTTGGTAACCAGGCGTTGGAAGCGAGTTGGGAACGACGAGGCTGATATCAAATCTAACCAGATTCCCACCCGAATCACCAAAAGATTAGAACATCACAATTGGGTGCCGCGACCGATACCAAGCCAGTTGGTCGTCACAGGACGAGACAACACGACTGACGCGACAGGCGGACGTCACGTTTGGAGCAGCGACACCCGAACGGAACAGCGAGGAGCGAACAGCTGGCGCCGCGGAAAGGATTAACAATTGGTGCTGTTTGGGGACGTCACAGTTGGTGCCGTGGTAGACCAGAATAGAACGTCACAGTTGGCGCTGCGACCAGAAAACGACGTCATAAAATGGATCACCATTTAAAAATAAACATGTTCATCATTAATTAATAAAATACATAAGCCACAATCAGAAGTTCATGAAATTAATGAAAAGTTGGAATATATATATATATATATAAATATATATATATATATAATTCTAGGATCATTTTCAAATTATTTTAAGATCATCTCCGCCCATGTTATTTGTTGACCTTTTGAAACAAGTTGCCTCAGATGTTTTACGTATTGTTTTTCATTTAATAATTTTTTTTGCTTTTACTGTATAATTATGAAACTGTCATTTCATTTTGACAAATGTCTGATGGATTGAGTTCGATCTTTTAATTTATATTTTATATATAAATTGAAATAATGATATATATATATATATGACCTCCTCTCTACTGTTCCTTCGTTTTTAAACTTATTCATTATTCTCTTGATGGTTCTTGAATGGACTTTGAAGATGAAGCCAGAGTATGAATTTTGGTACCATTACTAAAGGCCTGAATGATCTTTTTTCCTCACCATTGCTCAGTAGGGAAGACAGTGGGGCTTTTGATAAAACATTTTTTATCCTATTCTTTTCTAGCTGAATAACAAAGGATTTTGTTTGATATTTACGACAAATTGTGCGAAGAGGCTAAACGTCTCATCTGAAAATGGTGGAAAAATTAAAACTAAATTAGTTTCGTGTTTTTTTTAGATATTAAACATTTTGTGGGATGCATTATTATGCTCATACACAATTTGGACAAATTTACTGTTACATCCGTTGGATATGGACATATAGTATAGCGGTTATATATATTTTATATAACTATTGCAAATCTTTAAATTCGATCTGTGGTTGCAGTCGGAATTAAACAAATAGTCTCAGAAAATGTATGAATACATCGTTTCTTATCCAACTAGGGTTAATACTTTTCAGTGAGGTCTTTATCATTGAACGGAAATCTCTGAAAAAAAAATCAGATTGGTTGTGATTTTAAAAGTTAATCCTGAAAAATTTCTTTTTTATTTGGAACAACATTTAGTGTGGTAAAACAGTGATCATTATATTCTCAAAGGTTAAATAAGTTTCTT